AGATAATATAATTAATATTGAATATTTTTCTGCTCAACAACGACTGTGCACGCTGTTGTTGATGATTTGCAAAGAATTAATATCCAAAATATCAATCGTAAGTTATTCTCAGCTCCAAAAGAGAACTTTTATCTCATGCATTGCCTAACTCAGCGGAAATAGCAGGTATTAGTCCAGAGTTGAGCATATAACTAAGCTCCTGTTGCAATTGCGTTTTAAAGGAATTGCTATCCTCATCAACTAGCGTCTAAGGCTGATAATCATGTAGGAATAAGAGTGGATGAATGAAAAACATCGAAATGAATAAGATGAATGAATACCACAACGATACATGCCGCAATAAACATAACAACTCCGTAACAAATCAGTTTATTCCGTTTCGCTCGTTCATCATACACATTTTCGTACGCATACGAGACGCTTCCCGACGATCCATCGTCAAAACCCGAATATCCCCTTCAACTCGTTGACATATTTAGTTCAAATTTTTAAAATATATCATTCTTATAAAATGTCATCAATATTGTTATTAGATGTTGCAGCAGTAGCTCAAGGCTATTCTATTTTCAGCTGTTGACATGACTTATTAGTTCAGATCACATTATTTTTTTAAATATCGAAGTGTTTGAAGGGCGCAATCAACTGAATTGGTGAATATGATAATGAGATAAACAAGCAGTAATAGTGAAGTGGTCAGCCTTACCGATGCATCGTTGTAATACTTTCAATGAGGATTACTTGTCAAAGACTGCTATGTGAAGAAGGCGGCAACAATATCTGAAATGAAGAATGCTATTTCAAAATTCCAAAAACAGTTCATAAGTCATGAATCATTTAGCTCTTGGATAGCGTCTCAGCTTTATCAGTAATTCACAAATCATTTACGATCCAAAAACAGTTCATGATCATTAAGCAATTATCAGTCATTTCAATTACGAGTCAATCAACTGTCAGTTATCGATCAATTCCAAAGTGAACGCATATCATTTATTTAATGCTGCCAAAAGTTTTGAGGATGATCTCGAATTACATACGGTAAAATGCATAAAACTCAGATATCTCACTGATCCCTTAAGAAAAGATGCATCGTAAGAGAAAAACTGAAGTCGATAAAGGAATTTGATTCTTCTTTTAATATTTCTCTCCCAAATTCCATCGAATAAAAACACTCATTATTACGTATGCGATGACATTGAATGGCAGATAATTCGAAACGCGGATCATCAAAAAAACACTTCAAAAAACTTGTTCGTTGACAATTCAGTTATATTTAAGTGGTTATTGCTTGCCTCGGGCAAGCAACATCACATCCGAGCATTCGTTACATCTAGTCGTAACATCCGTAATGTGAGTAACTCATCGAAACAAAAAAATCCGACATTTGCTGGGTTATTTCGCGAAAATCTATTGATTCGCGATGACTTCATTCAAAAGCACATCCTCTCAGACAATTTCTGATCATGAATAAGATTGATATTCAGTATAACAATAAAATTCTTCGCATTGTTTGTTATTATTGTTATTACCTGGATTATTACCAGGTAATCCAGGTAATAACAATAAAATACGCACCATTGAGAATTTAAGAAATTAATGAGAATTGGCTAAAATTACTATTCGAGAATCGTGAACGCGATTACCCAATGGACGTTTCGAATGTTCCAAAATTCTTAAGCAAAGTGCCCGAATGAGCAAAAGGCGCACAAAAAGTCTTCTTGATCTAAAGTGCCTAACTGATCTAAAAAGTGCCCAATTGATCTAAAACTGATCAGCGATTCACTGTAATCTTGATCAGAATCAATTCTCATACAGGGGACTCTATCCTCCTTAAATCAATTATGGTTGGGATCGACGAGAAGATTTTAGGAAATTGCAAGCTTACGAGCAATTTGAACAAAGTTCGATGGATAGTTTCAGTGATAATATCATTGCAACCAAACAATTGCAACTTCGCGAGATTATCGCTGTAAAATTGTGATATTCCTTGAGTCAGGTATGTCAAAAGATGTTCATAGATCACACATTTAAAAGTTTATTGGATTTTCACAAATCTTTCATATAATGAGCAACTTTCAGCTACAATAACGAATGAACATCAGAGTTGTGAAGGAAGGAGTCATAAGTGAGTATGTAAGACAAAGATAGAATGTTGACGACGTTGTAATGGATTAAAGACACGTCAACTTAGAAATTTTATAAAGTTGTTTTAATAAAACGTTATGAAGTGAATGAATGCGATCATCGAAGTCGTCGATCACTGACCACTAACATTGCACAGTGTCAATCGCAAACCAAATTTTGCACATCAGTTATGTCAACATATTGAAATTGATTGTATATGTGCGGCAGTGTAACGAAATGCTACTGATGTGAATATCTACGCAACTTTTCGATCAAACCTGATCTGAAGTGAAAGGGAAATGCACAAAAAACCAGTTCTTAAAGAGATTCATTTTAAGAAATCAATATTCGAACGAACGAAGTATCTTTGTTTGCAGACCCAAAGCGATCTTCATTTAATTGTCATCACTCGAAATCCAGTCATTGAAAATCGATCGTTTCATTGGTTGACTGTCACGATGGCATGAACCGTCTTAACGTTACTTTAGTTCACACCTTCGAGTCTATCGCACAATCTACGCAATTCTAGCTAAACCATATAAATGAGAAACTTATTATGTGCTGATTCATTACCGTATGTAATGCATATAATAACATAACATAGTACTTTATATACTGTATTGTCAATTTACTATACATCCAATAAGCACTTAGAGCGAATAATCATAAGTTCATCGCACTCTATTGTTACCATTCTCACAAATATAGCATTCATCCTTTTTTCATATTCGAACAAAGAACTAATATGACAGTATTCCTAGCAAGTCAAACGTGTTGCATTGAATCAAGTAGTGATTTTTTTGGATTCCCTCTAATTCAACGGTCATTTTGACAAGGAAAGTTTTCAAATTCTCAAAAAATACTGAAAAAAGTCCAACAGAGCAATCACAACAAAGTCATTGCAAAAGTTTTATCCTACAAAAAAATTCAGCATAGAAAGTGGAACACGACAATGAACAAAAATATGGACAAATGATAATAAATTAGCAATTAATTACAACGGAACACTAAAATTGACAAGGACAAAACAGTTCTATAAAATTGAATAATCCATCGTACAATAACAATTAACGAAATTGTTGCAACCTTGAAGAGTGTTCACTGGTAAATTCCATAGATTTTTACATTTACAATGACTGCATCAATACTGTAGAGTAGTAGACTGAGAAAATTAAGAAACTTCATCAATTATATCGAAAACCTATTGTATCGAATCGCAAGAGAACTGCTGAGAAAACAAATGGAAAAAGCGATTACAAAAGAAACCTTCAAAGATATGACAAGAAATAAATATGAACATATCGATGAAGAGTAAAAATGATGGAAATTAATGGTGACAATAACAATAAAATAATAATTATCACGCCAGCGATAACACTAACGATAATGATAACAAGCATGATAATAGCGATGATGACAAGGATAGCAATAATGGTTTCATGCAAGGAGATAAACACTCAGAGAATGGAATGTCAATAAACTAAAATATAAGGAACAGACAAAATTGGTGATGAATAAACGGAATTGTATCAACTGGTTTCAGGTGATCACTATCTGCGAATCATAGTTAACCTCTGTTAAAGGGTCACCATGAGAATAACGATAATCACTAACAAATACATACGGCGTTTAATGGACAGACGAGTGATCGATTATATAATGCCAACGAATAATAAAATATTCGGCGAATAATATTCAAAACGAATTCTCTCTTCACACACCTTATTCCAACAATGCATCAATGAATCAGTAAATGAATACTATGAAAAATAAATAGACATGAGACTTATAATGAATTATGTACTAATAATCATGATGAACGGATAACTGGAAGCTGTAAAACATACGAAATGAAAGAAAAACGTCCAAGTAATTCGGTCAGATGAATATTCTCAGTAATCGTAGCCAAACAAGCCAGATCATTGGATAACCATCAGTCGAGATGAGCAAACTGGATATGATACGGGCATTCTAATCTACTAGTAAATCCTCATATCGCATTAGTAAACACTTAACTGCAATGAACGAGCCACAATACGATGATGTTTCCATAAACAAAACAACTTTGCTTCTGCAATCAACTTTTGGAATCAGATTCGAACAAACACTATTGGGATATCCTTAAGCACAGCACATGTGCGCATCACGTATCCCTGCCAGAGCCTAAAGATACACATAAAATAGAAAATCCAAATTTAGACCATCCGCCATCTAGCTCGTTCGAGCACGCAATTGAGTAAATATATATGTACATAGAACAGCAATGAAAGAGCCTGATAATCCCACCTCAGTTGACCGAATAAACACCAAACGACAACAACAATGCCAAACTGAAACATAAAAGCATCACGACAAACAAATATCATCAACTATTTCATATTCAGTTTACAATTAGTAAATATCACAATGATCTAGTAGCACTACTACAAATCGTTATTTATTGGCATATGCCACAGGTAATTTCGAGAATCGATCCACATTTAAACATTATTCAAATGAACATACTACTAAGAAAACAACGCACAATGCATGTAGATAAATAAGCACACGAACAACTGAACAGCAATGACGCTCAAAAACCAATTAATATAAAAGTGAATCTTAATAATTAGCACGCTTTGCACGCGACTAGTGCTTTCACATTACATCAAAATTTACTGAACAAATCAATAAGAAAACAGATAATTAATCAGTTAATTCATTTAGGACTATCGCGTTCGAGTCGTTGTTCAGCAATGATCTAATGTATTTTGATGAAGATACTAGCTGGCAAGAACACATCATAATACAAATCTGATTCGTTAAGATATATGAATCGATCACTTCAAAGTGAAGGAGATCCAGCATTTTCAAACGCTGTCCATGCATCGTTCAGTTCGGTGAATATCGCACGTGCTAACAACTCATTTTCCGTACCAACTTGCTTGTCAGGATGAATCACCAGACAAGCTTTACGGTAGAATTTCTTCACCTGAAAAACACGCACTTATCCTCTATCGAACATCGAACTCTCTTCACACTAAACGAGCAAAAAACAGAACAACGACCCAAGGATCACAAAAAACATATCTATCTAAATGCAGAAAAACACACTGTATTAAGCTAAATTTAGCAACCATCATACCAAAAAGGAAGAAGACATCAGATAGCACAATTATCAGCACTAAAATCACAACAATGTCACTGATAATCTCACCTGCACAGCTCTAAGCAGATCACCCATATTCGGTTGATTCCATTTATCAGCGCCATCCCATAAAACATCGTTCAACGACCCTAACAACGCTCTGATATTACCTTCTTTACCTGTTGTCCAATCACGTATCTGAAAAACAGTTCACTCCAACAATGTCATAATAAACCCATACTTACATCATAATCTATTCACATCACTCTATCAGTTTAAATCAATTTCAATTCAAACTCACTTTAATTGAGACTGGGTCCATTGTCTTGTTATCCTCAGCTTTCTTCATTTCAATCATCGTCTTAGTATTCTTTGATGATGATGAAAATCCTTGACTACTTAGCAAATCATCGAAGGTATTCTCGGTAAGTTTTGGTTTCAAACCTAAAAATAAAAACAACGAATGAAAGAACGCTCACGACAAGTATACGTGCACATAACGGTCCAATACATTCCACACAAATGAAAAAAGAAAAGAAAACAATCGCTAAAACATCGAACGAAATCCACTCCACAACTCACCTCCAATTGAACTAATCGCATCAAAATGCGCTCGGCTGTAATTTGGACGTTGACTGCTCGGCGTTGCTCGACCACTGTTTGCTGCAGAGTCACCAGCTGTAATCAGAGAATCGCGTTTGTTCTTCATATCAACACATTCTCAGTTGATATCGGAGATAATCATTCGTGATTCGACACGAAATTGAAATATCTTTCGATAACTACATCTGATTACATGAACGAACACCTTGTAAATTTTTTCGCCGTTATCAAGAAAGTACTTCAATCACTTACGCGCACCGTCAAGTCTTGCTGTCGACTTCGAGAGATTCTCATTCGATGATGAAGCTAAAAAGTCGGCGAACGGATCGAAATTTGACATCTTCTGCGGTGTCGAAGTGATGTTGTTGGTCGCAAATGACGGTGCCGATATATTACGTTGCATACCACCAGCTGCACTGTTCAAACAGCTGGCTGTTGATAAACCTCAACAACGATGAATGGATGATATTTACGATTATATTGCAACCACCCCATAAAAGTTTCACATGCATAATCCAGTTCCACCATACAAAACAACACCCAGTGAAAAATAAAATTATATCTTGCACAATTACACCATTATATCTCATTAATCACACTAAGAATGTGTATGCAACAGTCACTGTATTCGAGGCGACAATAACTATAAGAACACTTAATAGTAAGCATAAAAACAATGAAAATAAACACCAACTGGATAAATTCGGTTGTTTATTGACCGTACCAAACGTCCAATCTAACAAATCATCGTGCTTGTTCACTACTTCACCACTACTTGATGATTTGTGCGCAAATGTTGGCGAGGACGTTTCTTCGATCGGTGCTCTCTCGCTCGTTTTGTAGAAATCCGCAAATGGATCCACAGACTGTTGCTGGCTCCCTTCGGGTTTATCTAACGAAATGGTGAGAGTATAGCACAAAAGGGCATAAATCACGTCTACGGATAACTGCAGCCAAATGGGATCAGCACCAAAAGATGAAAAATGAATAAAGAGGAGACTGACCATTGCCAAGATTCAACAACAAATCGATTTGACTGATGAGCTGATCCGATGAGCCGTTCTCACCATCATTTGTCACAATTTTTGGCTGCTGTGCGCACTTCTTTTCGCAATCAAATTTGTACTTTTCGCTGTCTTCCTCCTCCTCTGCAGATATCATCTGATCACTGGCATTCCCTCCACCTCCACCGCTTACTCGAATACCATACAAACGTTCATACGCTTCAGCTTCGTCGATTTTTCGGGCGCTCGTCGGTGATACAGATGGCGTCGACTGAAATGCTGCTGCTTTAGGTTGAAAATGAGACTCAACTTGAATTTCTGATCAACCACATCTCTTTAATGTGACCACTTACATAAACTTGCGCTTCTCATTGTATAATAATAATATGATCACTTTCCTTATCGCTTGCTATTGAACAAGTAAAACGATGTATTAAGACGGATACAACAAACGAAATGTTTAGATGAGAAAAATTGCCAACAAACAAAAATAAATATATTTTTCATCGTGAATCTATGTCACCTTTGCAATGTCGTTTCTTTGTGTCTGACCCAAACTAAACAAATCATCACTGTTGTGTTGTGGCGCTGCTTCAGCCAGATGTGTGGTTTGGAAGTGATCTTGCTGAGATTGACTACTTCTGTGCAGTTGAGGCGATCCAGACAACGCCTGGTTTGGTTGCGGCTGAGCCGCTGGAGGACACAAACGCGCTTCTTGATCACTTTGTGATCTGTCATCGTTCCACTGGAAAATACTTTAATTCACCACCATCTGAACCAGGCATCCATTTTACATAGCACCTCACGCGACCACGTCAAAGAAACAAACCAGACAATTCGTATGGACAAACAGGCGTATAGAAACGTTTAGTCTCAAAATTATCATTAAACTAATAAATCATTAGCATCAAAAAAAAATCCGATTCAAACAGAATCAAGAGTACGTCTCACTTGTAATGATGAAAAGAAAGAATCCATAGTTTGCGGTGAAGCAGTTTGTTGACGGTGTTCATCACCCAAAACTTTACCACTGATTGGATCAGAGTCTCGATATTCAGAAGGAGAATGATCGAAAATGCGATCAGCCGCAAAATCCGGCTGATTGGAAGAAGAGTGTTGTTGTGAAGATGATGGCGATAAAGCTCTGTTTTTATAATCCTTCTTGAACACTTTCAAATGACGATGTATTTGCTCGTATTCGTCTTGACTCGACACGAGTATCATCTTTCGAACACTTCTCGGATCGTAGCTTAGGAATGGCGGTAAATCAGACATATTGAAACAACGATCCGTGTCTTCGACCAACACTCGCAAACCAACTCTTAAAATGGAACACAAAATCAAAACCGTTTCAAAGCTGCAACCATTATGCACACTATCACCATCACGATTACTATTACTGCAATCATTTGGCTATAAGCACGAACGTAACAATGAAACAAATCTCACACAACCCTGTCATTACCATCATCACTACTATCACGAAAATACGTCAAAAAATCTCCAGAAACTCTGCCGATATTAGAAAAATAAACAGAAAATCAGAGACCTTAAGAGCTCATCGAATCGTGACCTATCGTCCGGTAATATATCCAAATCATTTCGTTTCATTTCAATCAAATGCGAGTTCGTGTCAATGAAATTTGCATGGAACGACAATGAGAACATGAACAGCTGTTGCATTCGATTTTGCATCTTTATCCACCTCGCATGATACACAACAATCTGCAACAACAATTTAACATCAAAAATTTTCACGTCAAATTAAATTAACAGGCATTCAAAATCTAAAAATTTGCAGAAAATTCATAATCAATCAAGTGAATTTGGAACATGAATCTGATCGAATACTCCTCACCTGAACGTCACCAGAGACCGCCACGTTGCCGAGGGTTAAGTCAATCACAGAACATTCTGACTGCTCATAACTTCTGCAAATCCATTCAGCCACTCCAAATAAGTCAAAAGAATGAAAACAATCAACATATCACAACGTGCCAACATAAAAGTCCTCTATTCAATCAAATCAAAATACAAATCCTATTGCATCTCTTCCAAATTCATCGATAAAAAATCAAAATAATCGCAAAACCCACTGTAACAATTCGTATTCCTTAGCGCTTGACCACAGCTTTTGACCAGCCGAATACACCTCCACTACGGGACGGCAACCGTTGCGCAGACGATTGAACGTTGGACACGGTGAGATCAGTATTGATTCGAGTATTACGCGACGATTGTGAACCATCTGAAAAGTCAAGTGGGAATAGTGAGAGGCAATGAAATCATTTCATCTACGACTTACCGATAGTAGAGCTTCTCTTGGAGTGGTGACGACTGTAGTGAGCAGATCAAGCTGTCGATGGTATGACGTTGGCATCTGAGGAATCGGTGCTGGACGCTTCTCGGCCACCAATTGTACGGCCAACATGGGACTCTCAGCCAGGCGAGTATATATCAATAGGGCACAAGCCATCAGCACACACTGCACTAAAACAATTGAAAACAACGTATAACTTTTTGAATTATTCACAAAAAATTAAGTGAATATTTCTGAACAAATCAGTTATGTTTTCATAATTTACCAATGCTAACTCACCTTCAGGTCCAGTGATAACAATAAAATTCGTCTGCTGTTGTTTCAAAAATAAACTCATATTTTTACAAATATCAATGATCCCATTCAATGTCGGTGCTAGACCACTTGTTACTAATGGCATTGCCACTTCACTCAAACGATTGTTATAATTGCATCGTAAATGCCTAAAAAATGTAATGCTGAAATTAAGTAACATTCACCAATCTCGATTCAGATTAAGACGAAATAACAATTTCGAGATAAATGGAATATGAATGAATCAACGGAACATATCACAACATAATAAAACAATACGAATAGCAATTTAAATACTAACAATAATAATAATAATAATAACCCCGTACCTATGCGATAAATTATAAATGGCGAACAATCCCTTCGATTGCTCAGTTATCCCTATACGCATCACCTCTTCTGCTTGTGCAGCTAGAGCTTCTGGTATTGCATCACTTAACGGTGCGATTACAAGATGACTTGTCACAAATGTTATGTCCGGTCCACGGTTACCATAGGTTGACTGAAATCATTCAATTTACTCGAAATCAATTCAGCTCTCATCTAAATGAGATTACTTCTACAATTAATCTATAACTAACATTCATTCCCACTCTACTCAATATTCATATCAAATCATTTCGCAAACAATCCACATTAATCACACCTAACCTGTACAGTCTGCGCTACTGCTGTTGTTTTGTCTTTAATATTCTTCAGCCACGACATTCCCTGGCCTTTCAGTGCTCCGAACATTGCAGACGCTTGCTGTTGAGTGCTCGGTTCCTGTTGTTTTTGCAGCAAAATGTAGCGAGCCATTAGAACAATTCAATAACGATTCATTGATTGAATACAATCCAAAATCACAACAACCCAAATTCAATTCAGTTGAATTGTTGCTCAATTGATGACTACTGCACTCACCGAACACACTATTATCCACACAACAAATGCAACACAATTAGAGACACTGAGCACTCGTCAAAAATGGCTCATTTTCAACTCATCGTTTTTTTTCTGTCTCGTTGTCATTCACACACAATCCAAACCATATGATCACCGTACAATTCATTGTACAAACAACTCAATAGTACTGAACAAAAACAAAAAAAAAATGCCGCGAAATAATTCCGTTAAAAAATAAATATCTATAAACATTTACTGATCGCAACTGCATGATAAATCTATCTCCTTTCTTGATACGAATTACCGGAAATGACTAACAATTCTTCACACGCGTAAAATCATCCACAACAAATGTGCTGAATATCACCAATCTAATTGTATGCTGAACATTTTCGAACCACCAAATCACACCTATTTGTTCCAAAACGAACAAACGAACGATTTCATTGAAAATATTGATGAAATTTTTACGTGTGAAAAAAAAGAAAACAGAATTTTACATGTGTGTGATCAACCGCGGCACGAGAGCTGCCCGCTGGAGGAGGAGGCCTGGGCGGGGGACCGGCGTTTGCAAACGGTACCGCTGCTGTTGTTGCGCTGCTGCTGCTGCTACCACTGAATAATTCTTTTTGCAATTGGCCTAAAAGAGGATCCTCAAACTCGTGAAAACCGGCGGTGATCAGGTCTTGATAATGACAGCAAGAATTAATTTTTTGAAGACGGTAGAAGCAAACAGCAAAGACAACATTCGTGCAAATGATAACAATGACAATAACGACAACAATAAAAATAATATCAAACTCGGTAACATACCAGAAGTGGCATTCAAAGAAGCGTTCGAAGTGAGTTGCGGAATGTCGATACCTTCAACGGGTTTTGTTAAATCGACACCCATCGCTACGGCTAATGCGTTCGCACTTTCACACAGCTCGTTGGCACTTGGTCGATTTCGGGGATCTATTTGCAGACATCTCTCTGAAATTCATTTAACAACAATAATAATAATAATACTAAAATCATCCATCAGAATAGCTTTAATCTTACAAACAATTTCGATAAAACAATAACGATAACGAAAACATGATCAAAAACAATAATAATAGCATTGGTTGCACAAAAATTGCATCCTTTAAAAATTAGTGAAGAAAATTTGATTTACTTACGTATCAAAGGATGAAACATCGTGTAAGCAGTTTCCTGCTCTGGCAAGACATATTTAGCGTTGATAATCCTTAACTTAGCGCTATCCTCGAATGGATGCTTGCGATAGCATAAATAGAATAGAATACAACCCAATGCCTGAAATCAATCCTTTCCTTAAACACTTACCTCTTAGATGGAGAACAAAATATTTTACAATTAAAATTTTCAAAAATTACAACATTCCGCTAACATTCGTAAGTGCCTATGACTGAAAGCAGAAACTGCACTAAAACGTTTCTAAATCATCACTGAATGATACAATCAACTCACCCAAATATCTTGTGCTGGACCAATTGGAGAATTCGAATACAAATCCAAAATTTCTGGCGCTCTATACATTGGAGTTGTGTGTCGTGCTAACTGAAAAACAACTTTTGCAAAAATTCGCAACGATGGAACGTTTACGAATTATGAATACCAAAAAAAAGTTTTAATTGCCGTCAAACAATTAGCATTCCAATTGATTCACAAACTGACACAATGCAAAAACGGAGAAGGAAAGAAGATGATGGCTTACCTCTTCTTCGAGCTGAGTTCTTTGCATAGCACTCCAATCATCATTCGGTTCAAACACTTCTTTTGTTGCACTCCCAAAATCACACAACTTAACAAAACCATACGAATCGAATAGTAAATTCTCCACCTGAACATTCATTACGTCTATTACCACAATAGTATATTCATTACAATCATTCACATTTATCACTCTTCATTATTATCATTACAGATTTAACATTGCACGCAGCGATCGAGAGAACTGTGTTACTAGCATGACATCCAAATACTTGCTACACCTCAATTCTTCTTTCATTAAACTTCTTCAGCTCTTTCATTTTCACCGAATGCCTTCCATTGATTGTCGGTTCATTGTTGTGGGAAAAAGGAAGGAAGTGCTCGTCCTCCTTAAATGACGAATAAAATTGACAATAAAGACCTTGATATCTCGATGTGTAATCGGGGGTGTCCTCGCGTGCATATGCCGTACTGCAGTGCATGCAGCAAAAAATATTTTCATCACTTGCGATGGAGTGAAATGCTTCTTTTGCAGAACTTCAACCACACTGCCGCCTTCAAAAAGAAAACATTTATAGTCTCAGATTAATACTGCACACCACCATCATATGATTGCGTTCAACGGTTACACTGAATCAGTATTATGCTCAAAAGCTTACAATATCGAATGAATTGTACACAAAAATTACGATACAAGAAAAGAGAACCTTGATAGAAAAAAATTAGGATATAAGGAAAGAACCTGAGCATAATTCTGTGACCAACAGAAATTCCGCCTTACCATGGCCACTCTCTTGCGGACTCAACTGTGCCGCTTGTACATAGCGAATGATTGCTGGATTACCAGTCAACTAAAACAAGGATACATCATAAATTAAAAATGTAATCACAGATTCTGCTCGGGAGAAACATCGTCGACACGCGACAATACCACTTTTTACGGCAATAAAGAAAGTACGAATATCGAAAGCAGTCGAATACCTCTCGTAAGAACCGAATTTCTTGTATGACCGCATCTGTTGCTTCCTGATCGGCAGCCAGCTGCCGCTTCAACGCAAACCAACTGCCCTGTGAATCTTGCGCGGCGAATACCAACGCAAAACCACCTCCAATTATGGACTGTCATTACAGATCGTAGAAAAGCGAACAAAGATAATAACACACCGAAATGACAAATCAATACAGCTTATATCGTTAACCAAAATATGATGTATGCTGTTCAGAGAACTTAACGTTCTGAGTTCAGCTTAATACAGATTATTAGGTAGAAGATGAGATTATTAAATTAATTACTAAATTATTAAATATCTAGATGAGTTAACTGAAATTAAATTATTAAATATAAATTACTACTCAAACAGTGGCATTCTTAAAATATAGAAGGTGAAGATGAAAATTTTAAAATTGCAGATGATACCTTCGGCGATGAGTGATCGTATTTTGAGTCTGAGTCCGCCGACTTCAATTGTGTTCCCAATCAGGGGATGATCAGTCTTCGAGCCAGTCAGCACATTTGTTGGCGCTACCTGACTGATATAGTTGAAGGCTGATCGCAATAAATCAGACATTTACAAACTGAAATAAAATCAGATTCAGACAGCAAAAAACGCATCAAACAGCAATTATTACAGTCACATTCGAATCCAATATTATTTTTCACTGAACTCAAGCGGATATAATGCAACAAAACTATCGAAGAATAACGTCGGAAAAAAGACAAACAATGTGTGCCGTATGCCATTGACCCATTGAGAGAATGGGTCAAAAAGAACACAAAGAAACGTCATTCAATTAATCAATTAATTTAAATTGAAAGTCATCAATGAAACAATGACGTGACGATAATTACTGAATGTACTGAGTAAATTTCAGCTAAATCGCCAACTACACCCTACAGCAATTCGCCACAGGCGCCTATCGACTCAAGGCATACTGCTTGCGTATATAAAGATGAACAAATTTGGAAACAGCATCAACACTTTTCGGACCGTTAGGATTTATAATATGAGAACATCCGATATCATGAAACAACCTCACGATGAGTGGTCGAAGTGGCTCGTACATGTCACAGTTGGACTCACAGTTCACCAGTTGATGCCTCCAGAGACTTACATTGATTAAACCTCTCAGCATTAAACTTCGTAACACCCAGGCGACCTTTGGAAAAAGTTCTCCATGATTTTCAAGCTGAGAACGGAAGCTGACACACCTTCTCATGCGCTTCAAAACGTATATCTCCGATTTCCCCAATAAGATTTCCATCATACCGTAATCACGCCTCATTTGTGCAATAGCACGAGAATAACGTATATATTTATCAGCAGGATCAGAACTATATGAACAACGATTACGGTAGGCCCGAAGATGGCAAACCGTGTAGCATTGGGAAAATAGCTACATCTCCTCAACCAAGCCAAACGCCTCGGAAAAATGCATATTTTTCGGAATGCAGACATTCCGCTGGATCGAATGATGCAATCAAATTCACATGATACTGGTCAAATTTGAATGTTCGGTAAGTTTGAATGTGGCAACCCGCGTAGCATTGAGAAGATAGCTATATCTCCTCATCTACTCATAATTGCTCGCCAAAATATATATATTATTTTGAATGTAGAGATCCAGCTGGATAGAACGACTTAAAGAAATTCATATGTTACTGGACAAACTTGAGAATACGATAGCCTCGAGGGGGCAACCGCATTTCCTTGAGATAGTTTTAATAAAATGCCTATATCTCCTAAGATAAGCCAAATTACTGAGCAAAATTTTTAATATTTTGAATACAGAGATTCTGCTGGATCGAACGGTGAAAAGAATTCACTTGTTTCCAGAAAAACCTGAGAAGACGGTTAGTTCGAATTTCGCAATACGCCGATTGCTATATGAACGTATTGATGGCACTATAGTGATCATTTTGAATGAATAAGCGCGACTGCGCTATCCAATTGAGATAGATTTAAGAAAATGGCTATGCCTCCTCAGGAAACCTAAATCGCGCGAAAAAATACATGTTTTTTTGAAAGAGGAGATCCAGTCGGATCAAACGATACAAAAAAATCCAAATGTTAATAGGCAAACTTGAGCGTATCGGTACCTTCAAAATCGCAACGTCTATAGTGCTATATAAATGTTCAAAACTAATCTATAGTGAGTGAGCGCCTCAGCGCTAGTTGAGATAGCTTTAATAAAATAGCTATACC